GTCACGCAGCAATCCCTTCTCCTCCATTCGCCTCTCAGAATCTTGGGCACACATGCACATGTGCCCGGTGTGAATTTAAGCCACCGTGGTCGACTACATGGGAGTCCAGCGACATAGCCATTACGTGAACTGCCAGTCTCTCTCTCTTGTCTTTATGGTGAGTGCCCTATAGCAAAACCTCTCAAAAAAAAAAAATATATATATATCACTCCCTGGGAGGATGGCCATGGGCAATCCCTTCTCCTCTATTCTCCTCTTGGGATCTTGAGCATGCGTGCCCATGTGCCCAGCGTGAGTTTGAAGCCTGTCAGGTCTGTGGGACTTGAACCGCATTTGGCCATGTGTAAGTAAGTCCAGTGCCTTAAGTCACCTGCTGGTCCCTGTTTCTTTCTTTTTTTCTTTTCTTTCTTTCTTTATTTATATTATTTACTTACTTTTTTTTGTTTCATTTTCTTTTATACAGTCAATCACATTATTTAGCTTACAAAGTGGATTTTTCAACATGGGACCATTTCTCCCTGGTCCAGTTGATACACCCATTTACTATGTTTCTATGTCCCTGTTTCTAATCGTTAAGGTCTTCTTACTTGGATAATTGTTAATGTTCAGGGAAGACTGGAAAAATTATCTCCAAGAAAACTGCCGAGGGGATTTCAAGCCTGAGAGGGGGGCAGGACTACATGAGGTCTGAGCTTCCCCCTACCGTGTAGTTCCAGGATCCTAACATAATCAGGTTAGGAAGTTCCTAGACTTTCGGAAACAGTACTTATGTCATGCCTAAAGCAATGCAGATCTCTTTCCAAGCCTTCAGTTTTTTCATTTTTGAATTCTATAAATTAACTGAACTTGTGGGATCTCTCTATGCATTAAGCATCCAGTGAGGGTGAGGTGGGCCATTTGGTGGTGTGTATATGTGCATGCACAAGTGTGTGAGTGTCTTTTGTGTGTGTGTGTGTGGCTATGCATGCACTTGTGCATATGTATATGTATGTGTGCACATGCACACACACATGCACTTGTGTATGCACCTGTGTGGGCAGGCATATACTTGTGTGTGCATGCATGTGTGTGCATGCACTTACATGTGTGGGGTGTATGTGTGCACCTGCATGCACAATCCAGATCCGTGCTTCCAGGGCTAACTATGAGCAACCTTCTTAGGCTTGTTTATGTCCCCAGAGAGCCAGAACCATCTTGGAGTTTGAGAAAATGTTACCAGAATGGCTGAGGAGCAGATTCCGGATGGGAGAGCTGTGTAAAGTGGCAGAGGAAGATTTTCGACTGTGCCTGCGGTAACCGAGGGAGGAGGGCCTTGCTGTGGTAGTCTTTGGGGGTGGCTAGAGAGGGACGAGTCAGTGAATGGGATGTTAGAGAAACTGTGCTGCCACTCACTTGCCCCGCCACAGGCTCCACAGTCTCTCCTGGCCACCCAAGAAGGTAGAAGTTGCTCTTTTAAGGTTGCAGACCCTGAGATGGGGGTTCTGGAACTTCAGAAGGGGGCAGGAAGGAGACTGCCCTTTTGGAGGTGCTTCCACCATCTCTCCCTGTCCAGTGTTTGGTTTAGAAAAGATCTGCCAGCTGGGCACTGTCCTTCTGTCTACCCTGTGTGAGTGCATGTGACACCCAGGGACTTGAGGCACCTTGTATCACTGGCAAATAAAAAGTGAGACAGTTACTCTGGACAGATCCCCAGCTTTCTGAGTTTTGTCAGTCCTTGCACAGCCCACGGCCCCATTTTCTTCCGAGACCAGCTCTTCCTGCCCCCTGCCGTAGTGCTTGATTCTACAGGCTGCCTTTGTTGACTATAACGGTACCTTAACCTAATTCTCCTTGTGAAATTTCCATCTGCTGGAAACCATCCCTTCTTTCTTTTTAAAAACATTTTTCATTTTTAAAAGCATTTTTTATGAGTTATTTTATTTAATTTTATTTATCATTATCATTTTAAAATTTTATCAGAGAGAGAGAGAGAGAGAGACACACACACACACACACACACACACACACACACACACACACAGAGAGAGAGAGAGAGAGAGAGAGAGAGAGAGAGAGAGAGAAAGTCAACAGTCTGGGACTCGAACTGCAGTTGGCCATGTGGGAATCTAGCACCTTAACCACCATGGCACCTGCTAGCCCTGGAAACCATTGTTTTTAATTGTAATATTTTCTCTAACAAATAGTTTTGATTTTGCATGTGAAGGCGATCTGGCTGCAACCTCTGTCACCCCATAGACTGAGAGGGTTAATCTGGCTGGCCAGGCTGGTGTCCTCTTCCTCTCTCACAGCTCCATGTGGGTCCTTCCCAAAGCCACATGCTCTGATGAGGGGATGATCTTCCTGGGTAGAGGAGGCCCGTTCTTTATCAAGGGTATACAAGTAGCTGCACTCCTCTGCTAGAACCTTCCAACAAGCTCTCACATATTTCTGACTGTGGCACCTTCACTCTACAAATGTCCCTTGAATGTGAACTTAAGCAAAGCCGTATCTCCAGATGAATCTAACTTTAGACGCTGTATGCTCTTATTGGAACATGAACCCAACTACTTCCTTAACACTAGCTGAACTTATACAAGTTTAGCCCACATAACTCTCAGCTACAACCTTCCTGTCCCTTTTCCCTCCTTCTCTGTGGGCTCCCTCTCACCAGTCAGGCACAGCTACTGGTGTCTGAGGATGGACCCTTTACTCCTGTCTGAGTAACTTATAGGAGTTCTAGTCCCCTATGCTGGTGGGAGAGCTGATCCCCTAAGGTCTGGGAAAAGGGAGACTTGGGCAGATTTCAAAGCCTAGCAATACTGGTGTGACCATGCGGGCAGAAGTGTTTTTGATCCAGAAAGGGGCTATGCAGAAACCAGGACGTCCCAAAGGCAGTGCCACTTGTTTGCATTTAGTGAAGTGCAATTGCAAAGTAGTGAGAATGACGATCACGTTTGCAGGATCAACGAGGTGAAGTGGACTGAATGGAAAACTCACGTTTCCTTCCTGAATGAAGACCCAGGGCCTGTGAGACGGACAGGTACTGTGGCTGTGAAGTGGTATGGTATGGGGCATGATCCTGTCTGACCATGTGAACTTGGACTAATCAAATCTGGAGACCCTGGGCTTCCTCGTCTGTAAATGGGAAGGTTGAATGAAATTGGTTCTTGGGTTCCTTCCAGCTCTGATAGTTTTATCTATTTATTGCCAGAGGGAAAATGCACTCACCTGACAAAAAGAGAGATTAAAAGAGAGAGGAAGCACCTCTCACTGGGTGTGGTCACACTGTGATCCCTTCTCCTCCATTTGTCTTGGTTTATAGGATTTGGGGCACACGTGCACATGTGCTCGGCACATTTTTCAACCTGCTGAGGCTGGGACTCAAACCAGAGTTGACCCTGTGGGATCTGGCTCCCTATGCATAGCACATAGTCACTGTGCTATGGGCCAGAATGCTGACATTTTAGAACCGTAGTTGTAACAAATTCTTAAAGTTAGATGTGTACTAAGATGTGAAGACATAGCGTGCAGAGTGCTATATATCTAAAATAGGATTTTTTTTTTATAAGCAGATTTTAACAAAATCCAGGATTCGTCTAGGAGCAACAGCAAAACCACTCTCAATGCATTTGATGAAATAGAAGAATTTCCGGAAACTTCGGTATAGAAGCAGAGCCCAGAGCTGATGTGTACATGGGCTGTTTGATGCTGCAAGCTGAGTCCCAGACTCCATGCTTAGGGACTGTGTAGAGTGGCGGACCCTGGCTCTGCTGGCCTGGAAGCCAACAACACCCTCATGCCGAGCTGGTGACTGAACTGAGGGGCAGGTTTCGGTTTGTCAGAGTGGGAAACACCCCTGATTTTGTTACTCAGCAAACCCAAGGCCAGCAGTCCTGTCCTGAGCCTGGGTGTCTCCTGTTGTCCTGGGTGAAGGCCCTGGTTTTACCAACTGTAGGTCTGCTTGGAGAGATGGTGGCAGGTGTCTGAGGAACAGGGAGATGCCCGCCCTTCCGACATTTTCTTCTCAGCCCCCACCCCAGCCTACATATTCTGTCACCTCCTCCATTTTGACTGGGTCACCTGAATTTGTGGGAGACCTGATCCCCTTCCAGATTGTGCAGGGAACTGAACTGAGCCGGATATTCTGGGGGAGGAGAGGAGTGAGTTATGGAAATGCCTTTCTGGGACTTTCAGGAAACCACCCTTGGAATGAAACCCAAGGCTCACACTATCTCAAACTGTGAGATGTTTTTAGTGGCGTAATTAACACAGAGTTTTCATTTTCAATATAGAAAAGACATTTCAGTTTTGAATGAAAATTACTTCAGTTGAAGTACATGATTTTAAAAGCTGAGACATAGGTTTTGGGCTTTGGGGTTGGATGTAAGTATTATATACTTGGCCCCAGGGTGGCCAGAGCAAGGACAAAAAGCTTTTCTTCACACACACAAAAGTCCACATGAGACAGCCAGCAGGTCCTGCCGGGGCCGCTGCGATCTGGGTGAAAGGGCTTGGCTACGTTCCTGTCCTGCCTCGCAACAGCACATGCCTGCGAGCGGGGATCGTAGCTTCATCTGAAGCCGAAATAGCAGCTGCTCTATTTATGTGGTCTTAGGTCTCAGAGGTTACTAGTACATACATCAGTATTTCTCATGGGGGGAACTTAACAAAATACCTGAAGTGCTTTGGTGTTAAGTAAAACATTTTGTTAACTGTGAATTTTGAAGTTGGAGGGGAAGGCTTGTGAGAGTGAAGCATTTGCCAAACTTAGGCCTTATTTTTAGATCCTTATCCTCTGAGTTTTTTCTTCCCTCCGATTACACAGAGTCAGTTTGGGGGCAGAGGTGAAGTGACCAGGGCCTAAACAGCCAGAAAATCCACTCTGCCTCCATTATCTGGTAAAAGGAGTCAGTGGGAATGTTTGAGGTAGAAGTATAAAGGGGTAACCATGAGTTTTAACTTTAAATGGCACAGAAAGATGTTGGTCTTTAGATAGTTTGGCAATGGACTAATTAATCTGACTTGAGGAAGTATGGGGTCCAAGCCAAACAATCTACTCTGGACTGGTTTCTCTGCTCTGGGCCACTCTGAGTGCCAGCTTAGCCTGGCCCCAGGAACTTGGCATGTGTGCCCCCGTTGGGCTGGTTAGGCAGAGGTGGGATGAGAGGACACATTATTGAAGTTTCACAGTCTGCCGCAGCCCCTGTTCTCCTAGATGACTCGAGGAGTCAACTAGTACTCTAAGCTATGACGGTCAGACCAGCGGAGACATGAGCAGCGGACCAGGGACTAGGCATATGTCTCTGGGGAAGAGAAGATTTGAGGAGGACTGTCATGGGGACAGGAAGAAGAGATGTGTTCTAGATGGGCAGAACTAATAAAGGTAGAGAAAGATTTGGATTCAATTCCATCCAGCAGCTGCTCCAGATATTGGAGATATCTAAAGAGAAGCTTGGTTGAGCTCTTATTAGGGATGTTGAAAATGGTGTGGATGACTTCAAGGGCCCTTTTAGTCTGGAAAGTCTACAAATTAGCATTTGCTATCTGGAGTCACTTCCTTACATTTAACCTGACTGGTTTGAAGTATAGTCATTTGGATCCATGGTGCCAAGTTCTAAACTGTGAAGCTAGGAATTCCAGAATTGCTTCGACTTGGATATTAATAGACAAAACCATACAGAGCTTTGTTTTCCTCCTGAATAAGAGCTGGGAGGTTAGGTAAATATTGAGTTGTTGGAAAAGTCATGTTGTATTTTTCTATGTTATTCTATGCAAAAATACATCATTACTTTTCTAGTGACCCACTAGAAATCAGTAACTGGATATTTGTCTTCTCACACATTCTGAAAAGCAGCTCTCTGGGGATTTGAATATAATTTGTTGGGAAGAGCATTTTATGTACCAGGTGTTCTTCCCAATAGAAGCATCCCAACAGCCTAGAAGCTCTGGGCTGAGGTAGGTTTACCAAGGCAAAGGGAAGCGATGACTCAAGTAATGAGTCAAAAGGACCAGTTTCCTCATTTTATATCTGGAAACTAAAGCTCTATGAAGGAAATTGAGTTGTTCAAAGTCACGCAGGAAGTCATGTAAGATGGAAGGCTGGAATGTCCTGATTCCTGGACCACAGATATCCACCTTGAATACATTTGAGCCTATCTTCATGGTTGGCTTTGGGGGACTAGAGTTTTTTGCTCAGATTAGTTGTTGGGCAGCCAACACTGTCCCTATTATCCTTATGACTTTCAAAACTCAGGTGTGCACACAGATGTGCACAAAACCACACAGACACATGCACACAATACTCATGCACACCACTGAGCCCGTGGGCCCATCAGGATGTCTCAAAACTCCATGATTTACATTTCAGTGATTTAAAGGGAAAGTGTGTGTAGGAATGGGATCACCCATGCTCAGAAAATGGTTTTGGCTGCAAATGCTCTTTTCACTAAACTGTTCCTCAGGAAGAATACATTATTCTAGACATTATGTGATGCATCTGTTTAGAGTTAAATGGGTGCTTACCGTTCTCCCTGGGATGTGGGAGGTGTGCGAGGTTGTACTGTGAAGTCATTAAGTTCTTAGAAGGCTCCTGCCTGCAAGAGACCAGTATTATTGACATTCCTTTCCTTCCTCAAGGCCTGGGTAAACTATGTCCTTTTGCTCTGGAGGACACCCAGGTAAATGAGCCAGCATCCGGGCCTGTAAACCATACTTGGGTTTTGATTTTATTTATATGTTTTTTACTATGATCTTGGTTCTCAACACAGAATTGTCATCCCCTTCTCCCGAGTGTGCCAGGTCCTTATAAATTCTAATTTATATACAAATACTTGTTATATACACTTGTTTTTAGTGGTGTGTCTGTGAAACTCTGTGTTAAAGAAAGAAATCATGAAAAAAGTAAGGATATTTTAGTGCCATGGAAGAAATGCTTATTTGATTTCTAATAAATATTTATTTTGCCATGTTTGGTCATTGTTTTTTCTTGTCTTGGATGTGTCGATATGAAGACTGATGAGAATGTCTTAAGTGTTGCTTAACAGGAGTAGATAAAGAGAAGGATCTGAGATCTGAAGCATTGCTATTGGTCCTAGCTCAGGGATAGAGCCAGTGAGCTGTAAGTCACGTCACCTTTGTATGGTGTTTACATCATAATGTGTGTGCATGTCTAGCACCCCATTTGAATTACTCAGCAAATTGAGAAGGAAGCAGTTTAAGCAAGAAGAGACCCAGGGAGCTGAAGTGATGTGTCCAAGGGTTCATAGCTAGAAGTGATAATGGTTCAAATCTTAGGACCTCCATTATGCTCTGCTGGCTGTCAACTTATTTTGCAAAAATATAAATAAATGGCTCAACCTGGAGACCCGAACTATAAATCCCTCCTGCTACCTTACAGGAGTTACATGAGGAGGCAAAGACAGAATGAACAGAAAAGAACTGATATTATTATTATCATTATTTTTTGTCAGCCCAACTCATATATATGTGTGTGTGTCTGTGTCTATATATATATATATAGAGAGACACACATACACACACACACACATATATATATATATATGCATATATATGTATATATTTTGAGTTCTTAAGGATAGTAGTTTATTTTTTTTGAGAGGTTTTTGCTTCTTTTTGTATTTTTGGAGAGGTTTTTGCTATAGGGCGCGTGTGCTCACCAGAAAGACAGAGACAGACAGAAAGCGAGAAATCACCCCCCAAGGGGGATGGCCATGCCGCAGTCCCTTCTCCTCCCTCTCCTCTCGGGATCTTGGGCATGCACGCACATGTGCCTGGTGTGAGTTTAAGCCACCGGGTCCAGGACTCGAACTGCGGTCGACTACATGGGAGTCCAGCGACATAGCCATTATGCAAACTGCTGGTCCCAAGGATAGCAGTTCTTAACTTGCATGGCAAGATGCTGCTTTGTCTTTATGGGTTGTGGAACTTGTAACCAATTTATAATGAAGTATTGCATTTGGTGAATTCTCTACTTAATCCAAATCATTCCCCAAATAACTTCCTTCACTAGGATGTGTTTTGCTGAGCGATGAAGAAAAGGGGATTATGCATAATCCACACCCTCGTTTGGACAGGCTTTGGTTCATAACGTTTGTGCCATTCAGGGGTCATTCTGTGTGGAATGTTAGGAAAAGGATGGAAATCCCATCATATGGTATATTTTTGGGAGTGGGATGCTTAGGTCGGTAAGTGTCAATGTTTCTATGGCTCTTGGTACTGTGAAAAATAACCTTCCAAAGGGGATTGTGTTGGTTATTTTTTTCAGCCTTTGAGATTACATGATGCCCTAGTTGTAAAGCTCTGTTATTCATGTCAGTTATCTGAATAACACAACTTTCTAGGTTTGGTGCTTATTATACCCTTATTTAACAGGTGGGGAAATTGAAACTTGGAGAGACCAATGGACTGACATACAAAGGTCACTGTACTTCTCCCCGGGCCAAGGACCCAGATTTTCTGAAGTTTAGTTAGTCTGGTATCAAGAAATACTACCTTTTCTCACTGCGCCAGGCTACCTCTTCCATAACGATAGCAACATTCTGCAGAAAAGAAGAGATTCAGTCTAATTTTGCAAAAATGTATTTCATTTGCAGTGTGTGAGGATGTAGAACCAACTAAACGAAGATTGAATATGCACTATGTGCAATGAGAGAGGATACAACTAAGGCTACAACTAAGTTATTCTTACTTTGACTGAAATAAGACCATTTCTTCCATTACAGATGGCAGAAGGCGGTGAGAAGGAAATAGATGTTTGCATGCCTCCTATGAGCCATGCACTTTACATACCTTGTGTCATATAATCTTACAACAGATTACTGCTTCTTATTGCCCAGTTGTCTGTTCCATTTTCTAAGAATTGTTTTAAACAGTCATACTTCTCAAACACATGACCCCACCACTTCCCTTCCAATAGCTGTCGCTGGCTTTATTGCTTAATTCACAGTAATATGGAAGTCATTGGATGGAAATATCTTTGACTTTGAACCATCAAACCTACAAATGTACCTGTATTCACATCTAGAGCAATAAAAATCCTGCTTTAGGGCACATAGTTTCATCATGGTGAAAGTTATTTCTCCACTTAATAGAGCTATTGTCTAGCCTTTTGTGCTAGGAATTTGAACTTGAATAAATCATTAAGTACATATCCTGCTCCAGGCATGCACTTAGCCCTCTTAATCCTTATAATAACCTCATGAGAGGAGCATTATTAATACGATCCACCTTCGTCTTATAAATGACTAAAATGAGTCTGTAGATTGTGTGAAATACTCAAAGCAAAACTGAAAGTGGCTAAAACCACATAGCAATATGTTGTAGATTAAACAAACAAAAAAATCACATCTAATTAGAAGCACTAAGACTAAAGACTGACTTAGGGAAAATTAGACCAAATAGAGATAATCAATTCAAAAACTAAAACCACAGTAACCTACATTGCACATTGTAAATTTTATAAATGACTAAGGTTTTCTGGAAGAATAAAGTATTCATGCCAAAATTTACATCTGGAAAAAATTGACCCAGAAAAATCGGTCTCAAGTAAAACACAATGGAACATTCACAGTGGGTGAAGGAAGCTTGGTGAAACTTGTTATGTACAAAAGCTGTTTGATAAATGGAATTTTTACTACAGAACTCAGAAAGAAGAGAGTTTATTCCAATGAAACTAATTTAGGTAAAGTACAAAAACAAATGCTAAAAACTTAGAAGCAGTTTAATTGAATTCTATACAACATTGAATATGGAGCGAAATGGGCTTAATTGGAGTTAGCTCTAAAAGAATGAATTTGAGGTAGTGTCAGTATTTTTGGTGCATTTAAACCCATGAACATAGATTCCTTGGGGGTCTAAATCATGGGATTAAAAATGCTGTTTATTTGGCTGCTGTGCCCCAAGAGAGGAGGGTCCTATTGAAATTGGACAAGGGTCTCAGGGGCCCCCCAAATCTGGGGGTTGCTTGCCCACAATGTTTTCAGTTCCAAAGAACACACTCAGAGGTCCAGCAGAGAAAGACATGAGTTTACTTACTGGGGATGCCCCACTGATAGCTCGGTGGAGAACAGTTCATTCAGTCATTGAATACAGGCTCAGGTTTTATAGGCCAAGAACAAAGCATGCATGAATCAAACATAGACATACATTGTTCAGGGGTTTTAATACAGATCAGCTTATCAATCAATAGAATGAGTCATCAGGGTATGTCTGGGTTAGTGTCTGGGGTTTAGTGCCTCTAGTCTTGTGATGTTTACTGTGGGAGAGGTGTGAGGCATCCCTCTGGAATAGCCCTGGCCACGGGTCAGTTCCATGAACTAAGGGCATGGGCACGAGGGGCTCACAAGGTCCAGCTGATAGTGATCTCAGAGGAATAGGGTGCAGAGAGGGTGGGGGAGAAGAGCTCAATGCATAGAGTTTACCCTAGACAGGGAAGAGGCAGCATTCAGCCTGAGGTCCTTTGAGGAGAATCAAGGGAGGTGAGAGATTTGGTCATTTAGGACATGAGGAAATGTCTTGGAAGAAGGTATCTGCGAATCAGAGACATGGACTTGGGCCACATTTCAACCAGTGTCGACTGTCCTCCGGTACTGGTCCTCTCACCTCTGCTGGAAGCTGCCGGAGCCCAAGGATCACCTCACAGATTTGCCTAGAAATGAGAGCAAGCATGTTCTTTCCAAAATGAGAAGTGATGGCTGTGAAAATGTGCCTCTTTTTGTACTTATATTTTAATATTCTGTGTTAGGAAGGAATGCTAGCTTCTCCAGGTACGTGGTCCTGAGGAAGCTCTGCTCCCCAAGCTCAGGGCGGAGCAGTGGGCACAGCACAGCCCTGATGCTTTGTGGGCTATTGTCTGAGGAGAAAGGACAGTTCAGTTTCTGCTTGCTTTCTTATGTCATCTTTACAGTCAGCCCTCATTTCTTTTTTACATTTCATCTCTAAGAACATTTACAAATATATTATGGATATCCCAACTGTTTCTAAAGTTGATAGGCTGTACTTAATGCATAGTTATTAATTCAAATACAAAAACAAAAAATCCTGCTATTGTCAACAATATGGAAAAACCTGGAGGACCTCATTGCTAAGTGAAATAAGCCAGGAACAGAAAGAGAAAGCCCACACGATCTCACATATGTGCGATCTGAAGATGTTGAACTCAGAAGCAGGGAATATTGGGCTGCTGGAAAGTCATGACATATTTTTTTCTATGCAAAAATGCATCATGACTTTTTCAACAACTCAATAGGATATTGGTTACTAGGGGGTGGAGATAGTGGAATTGGGAAGATATTGGCAAAACAATATAAAATTTTTGTTAGATAAGAGAAATAAGTTCAAGAAATCTATTGTATAACATGGTGATAATGAAATGTATTCTGTACTTGAAATTTTCTAAAAGAGTAGATTTTATGTTATCACCACACAAAAATAAGGAAATAAAATAATACATATGGTAATGATCTCAATTTACCCTTTCCATAATGTATTTATATTTCTAAACATTGTGTTGTATATCATAAAATATATAATTTTCAATTAAAATTTATTAATAAAAATATTTTGAGAAAAAAATTTAAAATACCAAGTTTACACTGTTAGTTTCTAGTAGCAATCATACATTACTTGAAAATATACATTTAATTCTATGTTCAAGTTCATAACTTATTGTACATAGTATTGATTTTATATTTTGAATTTAAAGTTTGTTTATTAAGAATGTTAAACTGTGAGTATAATGCATAAAAAGCAATATAGAAATAGGAAGCACGTTTCTTTGAATAAACTACACACATAAAATATGAGGGGGTCTTCAAAAAGGTCATGGAAAATGCATATTATGAAAAAAACTATACGTGGATTTAAAAACTTTTTTTTTTGGTACAAAAATAAACTCATTCCACTTTGTCATAGCTTTTTCTTTTTTTTCTCTTTTTTTGGAGAGGTTTTTGCTATAGGGCGTGTGTGCTTGCCAGACAGAGAGAGAGAGAGAGAGAGAGAAAGAGACAGAAAGTGAGAAATCACTCCCCCAGGAGGGATGACCACGCCGCAGTCCCTTCTCCATTCTCCTCTCGGGATCTTGGGCACGCACGTACATGTGCCCGGTGTGAGTTTAAGCCACCGGGTCTGTGACTTGAACCGTGGTCGACTACGTGGGAGTCCAGCAACATAGCCATTACGCTAACTGCTGGTCCCCCCCCCCCCCCCGTCTTATGTTTTTTTTTTTGAGATTACGCTAACTGCTGGTCCCCCCCCGCCCCCCGTCATTGCTGTTTTTTTTGGAGAGATTTTCGCTATAGGTTGCGTGCGCTCGCCAGACAGACAGAGAGAGACATAGAGACAGAAAGCGAGAAATCACCCCCCCCGGGGGATGGTCACGCTGCAATCCCTTCTCCTCCATTCTCCTCTCGGGGTCTTGGGTACGCACGCACACGCGCCCGGCGTGAGTTTTAAGCCACCGGGTCTGGGACACGAACCATGGTTGACTACGTGGGAGTCCAGCGACATAACCATCACGATAACTGCCGGTCCCTCCATCATAGCTTTTTGATGTAACATAGTATGATAGCTTTAAAAGGTACTCATTCGTTTATACTTTTGTTGAGTAATTTTCCTGTATGTGAACCATGTAAGGCACTGGGCGAGGTGCTGCGGATCTGAAGTTAGATAAGGCACGATAATGAGGCTCTTGAGGAGCTCAGAGACTAACAGTTTTCAAGATACTGTATAACAAGTGAGCTGGATGCAATTTCTAATGTAAAGAGGATCGAACACTTTTTGCATTGAGTGTTAGTTTAGTCGTCTTCGCGAACGCTTCTTTCTTTTCGTAATATGCGGCCTCATTTACAAACACCGGGTACACGGTACAGTCTCCACCCAGTGGAATGGTCTTCCCATCAAGAGTTAAAAACACAGGATCCCCAGGGTGCACTGGTTTCCAGTCTTGATCCTCTCAGGAAGCAAGAAAAAGAAAGAAATTACGTTTGGTTTTTCTCCCCCTTTAAATTTTTTATCTCAGATCCTAGACAACCAGCAGTTTATAAAGGAGACAGTTGAGAGGTGCATTGTGAAGCATATGAGTGATCTTACTAAACTGAAAGTGGGTAATTAATCTGGCAGTAGTTTTAAGGGTTCTCCTTTTCATTTTTGTGACACGTGTAATTAAAATTTGCTTCAATATCAGGTTTACCTTGGATATTACCAAATACATAGAATATTCAAAAGCAAAACTAACTGTGTGTCTACCTAAATGCGTATTTTACCTCCTGATAGCTGCAGTTAAGTTCTGTGCAGCAAATTTTAGGAAATATTCATTAAAAGCCTTCTGTGTGCAAGACATTCTATTGTTGACTATGAAAACGAGTCATGTTGTGCCACAAAATACAGGAGCTCCTATTCTGATGGGAAATGGTATAGAAGGTGAGGGTGCACTGGGAAAAAAGGTCTAAGACAAGGTGGATATATTCCAAATGTGTCCCCACATTATGGTATTAATTGATCTGAAAGGGACTTGGACCTTTGAGCCTCCAAATCCCTCATGTCACTCCTGTATTCTTCACTCTGTTTTGTTTTTTAAAGCTCCAGGTGATTTTGCAGTGTGGCTTGGTTGAGTACTGCTGCTCTGGACCAGCGGTTTCAGGCAGAAGTGCCTCAGAACCACTGAAGAAGCTTTTCCAGCACACATGTGGTTGGCTCTGCCTGCAGAGACTCCAATATAAGAAAATGCTACCCTATCCGGGAACCAGCAGTTAGCGTAATGGCTATGTCGCTGGACTCCCACGTAGTCGACCGCGGTTCGTGTCCCGGACCCGGTGGCTTGAAACTCACGCCGGGCGTGTGTGCGTGCGTGCCCAAGATCCCGAGAGGAGAATGGGGGAGAAGGGATTGCGGCGTGACCATCCCTCTGGGGGGGTGATTTCTCGCTTTCTGTCTCTATGTCTCTCTCTGTCTGTCTGGCGAGCGCACGCACCCTACAGTGAAAATCTCTCCAAAAAAAAAATGCTACCCCTCCTAAGTCAGTAGAAATCACCTGGTGAGGGACCAGCAGATGGCATAATGGTTATGTCGCTGGACTCCCATGTAGTTGACCGTGGTTTGAGTCCTGGACCCGGCAGCTTAAGACTCACACTAGGTGTGTGTGCGTGCATGCCCAAAATCTCGAGAGGAGAAAGATTTGTGGTATCGCTGTTCCCCTGGGGAGTTATTTCTCGCTTTCTGTCTTTCTGCCTCTCTCTGTCTCTCTGGCAAGTGCACATGCCCTATAGCAAAAATCTCTTGGAAAAAAACAGTCACCTGGTAAACTCAGTTTATTTCTATCTCTACCCTGATAAATTACATCAGACACTCTGGGGACCCAGGAACCAGACTTTTTGTAAAGTTTTTCAGGTGATTCTCATTGGCCTGAATTAGAGAAGCACTGCTATAGTGGTTTGTGATAGGTTGTGTGTGGGGGGATTCCCTAGGTAATGCCAGTTGGCATTTCTAATTAAGAATCATTAGTCTCAACAAAATCTAGACTTGTAACCCTGCCTGAATCTTTGGCTCTAGGGTCGCAGCCCCCTCTCTGCTCTCCTCTTGTCCTGCTCCCCATTGACATTGCTCTCCTGTCCCTCACATCCTCCAAGTTCTTTCCAGCCTTCAGGCCTTTCTCTTGTTTTCCACGTGACTGGCTTCCCATCTTCCAGGCTCCAGCCTTGGTGTTACCTTCTCAGCAGTGGCTCTTTCCAACTACTCTGTCTAACTGCAGCCAGTTGTTCCCCTTGGCTGTATTACTCGATCCATTTATTTTAAAGCACTTTTATTGTTTGAAATGACCTATATGCATGATTTATATGTTTATGTGTTGTTTACTTATTCCTATGGAAGCTCCACAAGGGACCTTGCCTATCTTGAATCTCAGGGCCCAGAACAATCTTAGTAATTATTCAAAAATATTTATTTGAAATAACCAACCAGCTTGCTCTCCTGCACCATGGAACACTGAGCCTTTTCCTTATTGTCGATTAAATCAAAACTGCTTCCTGACTGCCAAGACCTGTCACTAACCCTGTTTCTTACTGATCAAGCTCACTTCTCAGGATTAGTTCTGTACTCCTCACGGAGATATTTGAGGAATGTGAGACTCAGAAAATCTCACGTTTTAGCCTCTCATGACATTGTCATCATGGCCTCTGTTTTTCGTATGTGATATTTTTGTCAGCTACAGTGCTTTTTTCCCTTTCTCTTCCCCATCTTTATCTTTCCTTTAAAATGCTGCCTAAGGCTCGTTCTTCAAATTTTCGCCTGTGTCTCATTAAACTGTGAAGGAGGATTTGCTCTACCAGCCTGAATTTTGGGGCAGACTACTTTATATGAAGTTTCACTACTAGATGAGAGTCATTAAACAGGAATTTGAACTAATCAGTGGCTTCTAACCCAGATTACCCACGCTGATAAAATCAGATTGTCTCAGAGTGGAGTCCTGATAATATTTTAAAAGAAAGCTCTTTGGCAACGTGTAGTCAGAGGTGAAAAACCCGACTAGACAATCTACCAGTCTCTCCCATCTCTGAGGTCTGAGAGGTGCAGGGTACTCACCAAGAAGAAGGGATAGCTTAGCTTCTAAGAATCTTCACTTCTCCCTGCTTTTCTATTTGTCCTTTCCACATTTAAACTTCCTACACTTTCCCAAGAGCCTTTTCTCCCTTCTTCACTATGTCATGGTTGATCAAACCAGGCAAAGAGTTGATGTCGGGATTCTGAGGAGAGTTGGAGAATGGCTGCAGAAAACATTCCAAAGAGAAGTTCTAGAGCCAGCCAGTGGTGTGGTTGTTAAAATGACTGGATCCCACATGGCCCATTGTGAAGTCCGAGTCCTGGACTGTGTGGCTTGAAAAACATGCTGGGCATGTGTGTGCCCCAAATCCCAAGAGGACAATGGAGGAGATAGGATTGCAGTGTGGCAATCCAGGGGTGTGTTTCTCACTTTTCTTTCCTCTCTCTTCAGTGAGCACATGCAATCTATAGCAAAACTTTTTTTTTTTTAGAACAAGAAGTTCCGACTGTTTGGCTATAATTTATTTAGTGTGATCACAAGGAGGGAGTAGCAATGCAGTCATACAAAGAATGTGATTCTGGGTCTGTAATTGATAGCTGTATGGCTATGGGTAGGATCTAACTTCTGAGCTTTTGTTTTTCTATATTAAGATAGACATTATGGGGCTGGCAGGTGGCATGGTGGTTAATGCCCTGGACTCCTACATGGCCAACTGTGGTTCAAGTCCCAGATCTGGTGGCTTGTTTTCTCATCCCCTCTCCCACCACTCCCTCCCCCACCCCCCATCTCTCTCTGGTCAAATAAAAAAAATAAAACTAATACATAAAATTAAATAATTCTAAAAAAATAGTCATCATAATTTCTTTCTACTGTAATTGGGTAGGAATCTCACCTTCTCTAAGAGGCCTTGTCTGATCACCTATCTCCCATCTCATCTTTCTGTTGTAGCATCTGTTTATCTTTGTATCTAGACCATGGTTTAGACTTTAGTATGTCTAGACTATAAATTCCATGGAAGTATAGACCATTCTCACTGATGTCTCCTCAGCCAGTACAGGCTATACTCAGTATTCACTGAGTGAAGTTCTGAATATCTTCTCACACTGCAGTGTTTATGAGAACATCAGATGAAAATGTAAAATATATGTAAAATGTTATATGAACTGTAAAGTTCTAATCCAAGGGAGAGCGTGTTTTCAATGCTTTAAAGAAACAGCAGGGCCAGCTGTGTGGTGTAGCTGTAACGCTCTGCTCAAAGGAAGCTGGAGCCCATGTGGCGATCATGGTCCAAATCTCTGCCGTGGCCTGCCTGAAACACACCAGGCAATATTTATGTGCCCCAAATCTGATGGGCTGGAGGACTGAAGGAAGAGGATCATGGTGTGACCAAATCTTGTGGAGGGTGCTTCTCTCTCTCTCATGAGTGCGTATGTGCTTTATCATGAATAAAGAAAAATAAATAAATCTTAAAAAAACAAAAAGAAATAGCAAATGTTACCTGCAGATTAGGATGGATAATAGCAGCAATTTCTCCACTTTTATTCCTGGGATAATCAACTTTCTCTATTATTTTATAGACCTCGAGAGTGCAGGGAGGAAATTCTTTTCCTATGGCAAAATGGGACAATAACAACCAAAGGGATGTTAATGAAAACAAGGATTTGATCTGGAGGTTTTATTTGGTGGCTGCTCTTCCTGAATGTGTCTATTTTGGCCAGTGAGAAATAGCTGGTTTCAGTTGTTATTTCAGTGTTTAGTGGTTAAATTTTATATCTATCTATGTATTTATCTATCTATCTATCTATAATATATATGTGTGTGTGTGTACACATAGATAAATATAACATAAGTGGTTAAGTACACATACACACATACACACAATATCAAGGAAACAACTCCCACTCACCTTCATTGAAATGCCATATAAAATCAAGAGCGTGTTTAATCATTTTTCTCATTTGGTCCAAAATATCAGCCCTCAAGACCCCTTGAGGCTGAGGTCCAACTTCTATGCCTAGGTACAGAAGGGGAGACAGTCAGATTTATAGAAATATTAGACTATATTGTAAAATTGAGACTTTTATATATCAAGATCTAGAATCCCATCACAAGACATTATTATAAAGGTAGACCATGTAACATCACGGAATAAAAATCTGAGCTATAATGTCAAGTAAAAAAATAGAGCAGAATATTTACGTGTTCAAGATTCATACGTAGTAAATAAAGACAAGGAAAGAACATGGGGAAAAAAAGCCTGAGTTATTTTAGAGTAGTTAAGACTTTGGGGTCTTTATTTCTTTAAGTTACCTTCGATATTGCCAAAGTACTTAAAAATCATAACACAGTAAAAGAGGTATGTTGGTTGGCCCCATAGTACAGTGGGTAAGTGTTGTATATCGGGAACTGGGTCCTACATGGCCAACCACCATTCAAATTCTTGTCCTGGCAGCTTGAAAAACACACCTGGCATGTGTGTATGCATGCTCAAAATCCTGACAGAAAGGAGAAGTGAGAAAGAAGAATTATGGCTTGGCCACACCCTATTGGGAGGTATTTTCTCTCCTTGCCCCCATCTCTCTCCCTAGCAAAGACACACACCCTCTGGTAATAAAAACTAAAATAAAAGAGGTATGTTATCCTGACAAAATACTAGATGGCCACAAAGAGGAACTGTCATAGATTGAACATTTAGCTGTGACAATAAGAAGTCTATCTATTTAGTCATAGAAATCTAGACTAGATGAACCATGGATTTAAGTCAACATGACATCTATATGACTCTAAAGCAACATTCTTGCCCTAACACAGGAATCCATCCTGTCTCAACAGTGCACTGGTTTTAATTTTCTGTAGGGAATAAAGGCTATGTTTATTTCTTATTCTTTATTTCTTCATTTTTCCTTCTGAGAGAGATTTTTACTATAGAGCACATGCTCTCACTGGAAAGGCAGAGGGACAGAAAGCTAGAAATCACCTTCCTTGGGGATGGCCTGCCACCATCCCTCCCCCTCTATTCTTCTCTTGGGATCTTGGGTACACACTCACGTGCTCCCGGTGTGAATTTTAAGCTGCTGGTCTGGGACTTGAACTGAAGTTGACTATATGGGAATCTGGTAATGCAACCATTATACCATCTGTCTGTCCCATGATGTGTACATTTCTTCTAACAACAGTAAAACTATCTCTGTACCATGAGGTCTATTTCCTGTAGCCACCAAGCATCCATCCTTTCACCTACAAAACCCTCTTTCTCTAAACCACTTAGGTAGTCCCTTCTCTCTTGTTTAAGTCTATACAAAGTAATTGATTTCACCATTTATTAAACCATTTACAAAGTGCAATACCATCTACTTTATTCTCTTCCACTTACTGCATATATATTCTTTTATGGCCATCCTGTTCTCATTCATTTCTACTATTTTCCATTTCATAAAATCTTACTATACTTTTTTCCATCTTCACTTTAAAATTTGCTGTGTGTAGCTTTCTTGTACATAGGTATGGACATATATTTAGCTACATGGTATCGTAAGTGTGACTAAGATATGCATTTGTGCATAAATGATTTATACATATGTGTAAAAAGGTGTATTTGTGGATATGTCTGTATGCACATTGTAAAAGACATTGTTGTTGTTTGCCTACCCCAAATCCATCCCACCTTCTTCCTTTATGATAGAATCTCGATTTTGGCTGGGTATCCAATTTTCAGGATAAGTGAACTTTTCTCCACCTCAAGAGCAAGTGTTGGATAGTTTGAGTTAATCATAATCATCTCATCACCCTCGTACTTCATTTAAGAATAGACGAGTGGAGGCAGTCAATGCCCTGGTAGTTAAGGTGGTTGGATCCCACATGGCTGACTGTGGGGTTGGAGTCTGGACCAAACAGCTTAAAAAACATGCCAGGCACATGTGTGTGTACCCAAAACTCCAAAAGGAGAATGAAGGAGAAGGGATTGCAGGGTCACCTTCTTCCATGGGGGAACGCTTTCTCACTTTCCCTCTCTGTCTGTCTCCCTTTGGCAAGTGCACGGGTTTTCTAGCGACAACAACAACAACGACACAACAAAGACGTGTGATCTAGTTCTGGTCATGAGTGACCTCGTTCTGACCCAGGAGCCATACTGAAAGATTTGCAGGGGAGTTCCTGAGAGTCCCCTTCTTTCCACTTGACATTGTCATGCTGGCACATGATGCCTGGGACTACAATGGACACCTTGTGTCCATAGGGCAGCTAAAGACACACTAAACACAGTAGACTAGAAAGATAGACAGGACCTGGTTAGATGCGATGTTGTTGAGCTGTTATGTAAAATGACAAAATGATCTTATTGTTCAAGCCATTTGGAGTTACCTGCAGCAAAAGCATTCTACATATTCTCGCCTTTGGAAGAGATGGCAAATGTGGTATGGGCTGTCTTGTGTGGAGGGGGAGGAGCTATGGACCATATCAGTGGGCACTTGACCCAGAAGAGCCAGCTATTGAAGGCATTTTCTAATCCCTGAAGTGTGGAAGGCTATTATTTTACATACAGTCGTTGTTATAGGAACTGTGTGGGAAGGAAAGGATATATTTGAACGGGTCAGTGTGGCATATGTGTGATGAAAACAGTGATTGATGATCATTTAAAAGTTTGAGTTGTATGCTCACTGGTAGTTTCAACTAATATTTAATAAACAAATTATTAGACAGCAGAAGGGAGTAGCAGACAGAGAATGCCAAGATAATGGAGAATACAGTACAGAAGGGGTGACATGTAATTAAGCAGGGGTTTGGAGTCTTGGACATGTTATTGCTCTTTCCTCCAAGTATCACCAGAGCTGCCCCACCAACTGTTGGCTATGAGTCCCAGGCAAGATATGCACAGAAATGAGAGAGCTTAAAAACTTTTATAGCAGGATCAGCGGATGGCATAATGGACTCCCACATAGTTGACCATGGTTCAAGTCCCAGATACAGTGGTTTAATACTCACACTGGGCATGTGTCCATGCATGCCCAAAATCCCAAGAGGAGAATGGAGAAGAAGGGATTGCAACACGGCCGTTCTCCTTAGGGGGTGATCTCTCACTTTCTGTCTCTCTGTCTCTTTCTGTCTCTCCAGCGAGTGCACACTCCCTACAGCAAAAATCTCTCTAAGGAAAAAACTTTTATAGCAACTTGACATTGCTGGGACATTGAAGTATGTGATCACATTTCTAATATTTCATTTTTCGTTTTACTCTAATAAGTATTCCTCTGTAGCAGATTGTGAATAAGTGATGGCCTTTCACCACAGTTAATTTCTTCTTTTATGTAAAAGAGATATATGGTGAAAGAGAGAGAAAGACAGAGAGAGAGAGAAAGGTACTTTTGACAGGGTCTGTCTATACAATCAATCCTCTTCCCAGCCACTCCAATAGCTGCAATATTCGTATGGGCACATGCTACCATGTGTGGCATGTTTTAGGTTGATCTGGGACCTGAACCCAGGCTTCCCACGTGGCTTAGGCTCATACAGTGGCACCTTACCATTTGTGCTATTGTGACTGGGTCCAGCACAGATGATTTTACTTTATTTTATTTTAATTAAGTTATTTTTAAAAAAGTTCTTGCCATAGGGTGTGTGCACTCATTGGAGAGACAGAGAGAAAGACAGTGAGAAGAAAACTGAGAAATCACCCTCCAGGGGAGATGGCCACGCCACAATCCCTTCTCCTCTATTCTTCTTGGATTCTAGGCATGCATGCACATGAACTATGGTCGACCATATGGGAGTCCAGTTCTACCACACCACCTGCTGGCCCCAGTACAGATAATTTTAAAACACTGGTCTAGAACACTATCACCTGCTTCCAACTTTCCCCCCCTCTACCCCACCTTTTGCCTCCTTCTTTTCTTTTTCTTCCCCTTCCTTCCTTCCTTCCTTCCTTCCTTCCTTCCTTCCTTCCTTCCTTTCTTTCTTTTTTTCTTTCTTTCTTTCTTTCTTTCTTTCTTTCTTTCTTTCTTTCTTTCTTTCTTTCTTTCTTTCTTTCTTCTTTCTTTCATCTTTCTTTCTCTCTCTTTCTCCCCTCCCCTCTCTCTTTCTCCCCTCCCCTCTCTCTTTCTCCCCTCTCTTTCTTTCTCTCCCTTTCTTCTTTCTCTCTTTCGTTTTCCTCTTTCTTTCTTTTTCTTTTTCTCTTTTCTCCTTCTTTGCTGCATCCAATCACTGTATATCTTTACAGCATATAAAATGAATTTTCCCAGCATGAATACACTGTATATTAGCCCAATCAAAGATATTACCATACACATTTAAGGGTCTCCTTGTTCCTTAAATGTTAGCATGGATTTCGCTTTATTCGCGACCCTTTGAGTCTAGTTGGGCACCTTGTCTTTGGACTTTCGTACTCCTCTGTAGCATTTATCACTTTGTGCAATAGAAACCTGGTTCCTTGTCCGCCTTTTCACCAGATACTAAGCTCTTTGTCTGTCTTTGCTGTCTCCCCAGTACCTGGCACATACTGTTCTCTAATAAGAATATGATAAATATCTGTTGAATGTACAAATTTTTGGAGTCATCAACTCTGGCAGTGGAGTTAAGAAAGGTTCCACAGGAAATAGCATTTGAACTGAGTCTTGAGGATGAGAAGAATTCTGCTAGACTAATTTGAAGGGCCGAGCAGTAGAGCAAAGGAAACAATAGGAGCAAAATCAGAAAGTTGCTCAGTGAAACTGAGGGTCATGTTGGAGACAGAAACCAGCCCAGGCTTGAGAGATAGCCAGCAGGAAGAATGCAGGAGGGAGTTGAAAGCAACCCCATTCCCAGATGGAAAGCTGCAGGGACTGCAAGATCGACCTGATGGAGCTCTAGGCATGGGCGGTGTCTCAAGATGTTGGGCAACATTCCATAAGCCAAGTTGTTGTCTAAATACTAAATCAATGAAAGCTCTCAACCTTGTACCAGGAATATAGCCTACAAAGAATGTCATGTATATTGTACACTGTTCTTTATAGTTAAACTTGCCCACTGTCTATCAGATTTTATTTGGAATAAACGGGCTCTGCTCTGGTGCACTTTTTTTTAAAATTTATATTTTTTCCTTTTTTATTATTATTTTTTTCTCATTTCATTTTCTTCCATACATTCAATCACATTATTATGCTCTGGTGTACTTTTGCTTCTGCCCCAAGAGAACTTCAGCCCCCTACTTTAACCCTTTCCTCGTCTCTTTTCTCAATCCTTCACAGCACCCTACCTTCAATTAGTCCTGAATTTCTCACAGTTTCTGCAGGGTTAATTTACTTATTACTGGACGATTACAAGCCATAGGTATAAATGTTCTTTAACAGATGATTTTCCTGGAGTTTCAGCTAGGACATATTCTATTCAATTAAGACAGGGGAAATATGACTTACCAACAGGATACTTGGCTATAGAACGAGTGGTTGCGTATTTGAGGGAAGGATGCTCAATAAGATAAACATAGCAGGGTAACGGAGCCAAAGAATTCTGGAAAGATTGAAAACATCTTTCTTATTATGTAAAGACCATCTGCTTTGCTCTGTTTACTGACACAGAGTGAATAATACCTTCAATATGTGTCACGTCCTTCACTAAGATAAATAAGCTTTATAAAAAACACACTAAAAAATTCAATGCGATTATAGTTTTGAAAACACACAAATACATTACAAATAAAATTGAATTATACATAGCTTTTTTTTGGGAAAAATGTACATTAAACAATTCTCCAGAACGGTGATCAAAGAATATGCAATAATATGTCTTTCTGAATGGATCTGGTTGTTTTTGTTTTCCTCTCTGGTTGCACTTACTATTTAGCTTATTATTGGTCTCTTAAAGAATTTTGTTTCTACCCCTGTGGTCCAGGTCTCTACAGATGTTGACCGATTTCTCCTCTTACTTATTTGAATGAGAAGCTGAGACAGGACTCTTGGTTTCTTTTTAGTTTTTGTTATAGGGAGTGTGTACTCACTGAGAGACACAAAGACAGAGAGAGAGGGAAAAGGAGAAACCCCCCTGGGAGGGGTGGGTGGCCATGCCACTATCCCCTCTCCTCCATTCTCTCAGGATTCTGGGCATAGATGCCAATGCACACAGCATGATTTTCTTTTTCTTTCTTCTTCTCTCCCCCCCCCCCCCATGATTTTCAAGCTGGGTACAGGAATCAAATTGCACAGTTGGCCATGTGGGATCCAGCTGCCCCGATCTTCATGCCACCTGGTGGCCTGGCTTCTTGGTTTTGATTACCAAATATCAGCCATACTGCTTCTGTATCTGGCAGCCAAAATAATCAGCTCTCTCTTCAGTGAGCAACAAAAAATTGTTGCATGATGCTCTTCTACTAGAACCACTACCTAGTTATTGCCAAAAATCACAAGGGAAACAAAAATAACAGTTAACCTTTACTATCTTCTAGGTATTAAGCTAGATGTTTTAAATACTTTATCTCATTTAAGGCCTTTAGCAGCCATATGGGGTGATTTTTGCCATTACTCCAATTTTATACAATGAGGAAAGCGAGGTTTTGGGAGTCGAGTATTTGTCCAATATTGGTCAACGAGAAAGCCAAGATTTGAACCCAGGTTTCTTCTGGTTATGTGTTCAAACTCTTTCCACTAAATTAATACAATTTAGGAAGGAAGGCCTGTTACAAAGAAATAAGCATACAATTCATTATTTGTGTTTTCACTTGGTTGTTATTTTCTAGCAACTTTTCTCTATCTAAAGGGAGCCAATTGTATCATTGGACTTTATTTAACATAAAAGGACTATTTCTTGAGCTTCCTAAAACCCTGTTAAAAGAGATACTTTGTGCATACCATTTAAAATTTCATATTGATTTTCATCACTTTTACCAAACAGCCCATATTTGGTGGCTGTCTAGATAAAACTAATAATTTTATAGGCATGAGAATCCACAAGTATTTTATGATCTTATTTATTTATTTAGTTATTTATTTATTTATTTATTTATTTATTTATTTATTTATTTATTTATTTATTTATTTATTTATTTATTTATTTATTTATTTATTTATTTATTTATTTATTTATTTATTTATTTATTTATTTATTTATTTATTTATTTATTTATTTATTTATTTATTTATTGTTTCACTTATTTCTTTTTCTTTTCTCCTGTCATCACAGCCTATGTACATCTCCCCAAACCTGGCTGTGGAATAGATTCCAATTCTCTTGGACACTCCTGACTCTTTGTTTCAGATCTCTAACTGACTTACAGGTACAATTTATAAATTAATAACACTGACATTACCTTAATGTAGTAAAACATTTGAATTAAAAAGTCATTTCTGGAATCTTCAAGAATAAGAGTGCACCCCATGTTTGAAGTAGTGTTGTGAAGGTCAAAAATAATGTCATAGGAGTCTTCACTAAGTTTTGGACCAAATAGATGATTTATTTCTTGAGCCCTTCTCACTTCATATGGCAGATCTTCTGAGTTATTTTTGCTGTTATTAGTAGGAAGAGAAAGATGAACAATATCTGTGGCTAAGATAACATAAATGTACAATATGAACACAGTGTACAAAGAACTAGTTGGCAATATTTTAATATAAAAAAATCCACGAGAAGTAAAAATGTATCTGAAACCTTTGTAAATGAAACATTTTTTCCTCTCCATTTGATTCTATACAACTAGTGTTCTGTTGGCATGCTTGCAAAATAAAGGTTCATTTATGTGGCTAGTCGCAGTTTTATTTCAAACAGAATTTACTGTTTGACATCAGTCTTGAACAGAATGTATCCATCAATTTAATAAATAGTTTCTTAGTGGGTTTGGCACACTGGGGTATTTATTATGGGACTAGACAATTAAACAAAAATTTCTTTTTCACTCTAGCTAATTCTAGAGCACTAAAACAGTCAAATTTAGGTGCTCACATAACTAACTAGGTATTCTTAATTGAGGTCCAGGAAACACTAGTGTTCTAGGGACAAAATTTACAGAGTTTGTAAACCTTTCAAAAATGCCAAAATTTGCAGGTGCATGCATATATGTGTTTTTCTGGGACAAGGGTTAATAATTTTTACTGTGTTTTCAAATAAGAGGAGCGTAGATCTCGGTCTGCTCCTGATCTACAGTGGTTAGGAAACTTCTTTTTCCCTGTACATGATAATAATTTAAATGTATTTTTGCCATTAAACCACTCAATCGTATTTCCCCTAATTCCATGTGCTTCTGCTCCTTGACTCTTTTTGTTATTATCTTTAAGGGACCTATTCATTGCTCCTGGATAATTTCTGTCTCAAATCAAGAAGGTGGAGCAGCCATTTTGGGAGCATGAAGCAAACCCAGGACAAAAGCTGCATACTAAAAGCAGTGCAGTCGGGAGACAGAAGGCACCTGTGGCTCTGATGTTTTTGTGCAGTCACTGCTCCAGTCCTGGACCACCCACCTCTGGACTTACTATTTGTGAACAAGAAACCCTCATTTTCTAAAACTACTATGCTCAGGTCTCTGTTACATGCAACCAAACACAATTCCTAATAGATATACATGCATTTTAAAAGTCGATTCATGGACTTGATCCTATGAGGTCTGCCCCAACCTATTTGCTTCTACATTGTTTTAATTCATTTGGCACCCAGTTGGCAAAGCTTAACATTTGGAAAAAGAATGGACACTTTAAGTTTTCATGTTTGGAGATCAGGTCTCATTAAAAGAGTCCCAAAGAATGAGGCAGGGGCAAGACTCCAATGAGCACTATCAGCTATAATAAGTTGCACGGATATCTTGAAGATTGGAAATTTTAAAGCATTATTAACAGGGGCAAGACATGATAAGATTTGCATGATAGGATGATTGCTATGGCTACAGTATGGAGACTAGATGGCAGGAAGACCTGGAGTAAGCCTAGATGCTGAGAGAGCCTTTAGGAGATGGTTCCAACTGACTGCAGCATAAATAAACTAAGGCAGTGAAAAATGGAGGGAGAGGAAGACAGGATTTGAGAAGTTCTCGCAAGGAATAATTGGGAGGATTTAGTGACCCACTAGATGTGGGAGATGAACTGTATAGCTTCTAAATACCGTGGAAAGAAAGAAGCAGAAAGTGAATTTAATTTGAAAGATTGCATTCACTGAAATGCATTGCATTGAGAGGTCATAAGAAAACCCACCCCCAGTGCATTTCGGAGTTATTTGGGACATTAATATGTTGACGAAAAGAGTTATTCTTCATCAAATTTTTGTACTAGAATAGTTAGTTAATACCTATTTTAGGTTAATAAGTGTTACTGATGTTGACATAACCTAAGTCATGAAGAGAAATCATTTCTGAAGTTAAAATTTATGCTAGTGAAAATACGACTTGATATTGAGTAATTGCCCTAAAAAACATCAACTCCACAAAAGTGAGGTGTAATTGTACCCAAAGTAGTATCCATTTTTGTTTTGTGCTGAGACTAAACCTAAGGGATTCTCTAATTCAAATTAGCATTTATCAGAAAATAAGTACATAAAGCCATGCGGTTAGTTGTCTACCAACTCCTTGAAGGTAGAAACATCTCATACACAGCTTTGCACTTCCACAGAACCTCCCACAGTTCCCTGAGTAGAATAAATGTCTAATAGTATATTTAGGTAAATGAAAGAAAGAAGTGGTAAAAAGCAAATGCTTAGAGGCAGATAGTTATAATATAAACAAAGGCAAAATTAATTAGGACAACTAGAGTATTACGATTGCATACATGGTATGTCTATAAATCAACTGTGATTTAAATTCAGAAAATCCAGGTGAAGTGTCTTTAATTCTTATGATCTCATCTACGACACTCCACCACTGAAAGTAAGTACATCTATTCCTCAGATCACACAGCGATCTGATGTTTTCTGGCGATGGTCATTTACTCATGTTTTCACTCAACAAATCTTAATTGAAACATTACATTCTTTTTAACTAGAATGTTATGTACACCCATAAACATCGCTGAAAGCATAGTTGTGAATTTCCTAGAAAGCTATTAAATATGCATGCAAGTATAGTTCCAAACACTATCTTAATGCAAAGGATTATTAAATTTGTTTCTTTAAAGATAGGATTTAAAAATAAAATGCTTTCTTTCTTATTGGCTCAGTCTGTATAGAAAACAGTTAAGAATACGCTGGTGTTTTAAAAAGTGAAAGAGCACGTGAATGCTCAGTTTAGATAATTGTGCAATTCACAATGCAGTATGATTAAAAGTGAAAGTGATCTTATTCATAATAGCAACTGAGTCATGGCTGTACACATACAAACATGAATATCATATGCATAGACATATATGTTGTCTCTCACACACCTACCACGTTTCATGCATACATACATGCACACAGAACACAAAATACAATCTTACCCAAGATTTTCAAGGTCAAAAACACGATTCAGATCACAGTCAATATATCTGGTACACTTCTTCACTGCTCTTGGGTTGGTAATAAACGGTTTTACCTCCAGTCCTGTTCTCTGAATCTCAGCGCCATTCTCTAGCCAGTGCTTAACTAGAAACACTCCTGTTAGCTCATTCCCATGAGTTCCTCCAAAGATAGCAACCTTTTTTATAGGTTTTTCAACAACTCCACAAGAAGTCATTTTACCAAGTAGTTTTATATGATTCCTGAAATTCAGAAGCGAGGAGAGCAAAGAAAACTCAATTTCTTCAGTAAAGTTTGGAGACTTAAATAGAAATGACACTTTAACCAAAGTGCAAGGTACAGAATCTCCTTGTGTGAAACATATTTAAATTTTCTGTGACAAGTCTGAGCCCTGTTTATTATATGGACACTCCCTTCTTTAGTCCTCCCCTTTACCATATTTGGATTGAAATATGCACAGATCAGCTAGAGATACAGCTGTTTAGTTAACTTCGAACTCCCTCAGATGGTCAGTAGCTCTAAATACAATAATAAATTAGCATCTCATACTAAGGCAAAACTTTGTTTTCTCCTTCAGCTAGAACACCATCTAAGGGTTCTTTCATGATTATTTGTAATAATAAAAATAGTTTATATATTTATAGCCCTCTCAAAGTATAAAAAAGTGACTTATAATGTACATATTATCATTTAATATTTATATTTCTACTGACACTTAAATATTTTTTCTCTGAAATGATTTTAGGCACTTTTCATGATCTGAGGGCATTTGAGTCTTATATCTATAAACAGACAATGAGAGATCCTCAGAAAGCTCTTCCTGAACTAGCACCTTTAGAGATTGCTTTTTCCATAGTCAAAGCCACAGGGACAAAAATCAATGATCCCTGAGACTTATACCAGGCTTAACAAAGGGTCATTCACATGGTATAGTGGTTTAAGGCGCTGGACTCCCACATGGCTGAGTGTGGTTCGAATCTCAGACCCAGATGCATGAAAATCATGCCTGTGCATGTATGTGCATGCCCAAAATTCCAGAAGGAGAATGAAGGAGGAAGGGTTGTTGAGTGGTTATCCCCGCAGGGGGTGATTTCTCACTTTCCCTCTCACTGTCTCTTTCTAGTGAGCGCATGTACCCTTTGACAAAATTCTTAAGAAGAAAGCTATCTGGGCAAACGAATAAGGAATATCCCATACTGTATCCAAGAAAGGTTGCTCAGAAAATGTAATGAGGATGAAGATTCACCAAACAACTTCTAGTAACCCATGCACCTGTTACCACTTTAAAAAATCTACACATGGTCAATGTGGATGAGAATAACTGCTGATTTCCAAATAAACTTATAAAACTAAAACTAAAATAAAACAAAAACAAAAATGAGATACTTTAAATGTCCTTTAATTTCTCTTTCATGAAGTTTTGGGTTAATTCTCTGTTAACTTTCGTAGAACTCATTCTCATATTTTTGCCTAAATGCTAAATAAAAAGCAACTCTTAGTAATTCTCAAGTCTTTGTAATGCCTTGGAACATACGTTAACATGAGGGGATTTCAAAAAGTTCATTGAAAAATGGAATTACAGTATGAGTTTATTTTGGTGCAAAAAAATTTAAAACCAATGCATGGCTTTTTCATAATACACAGCTTGAACTTTTGAAGACCTTTCTTACTAACCATATCATAAGTTTATATAGACATGACCTAATTTACCAG